TTGGACAATTAATTTTAGGCCACATAAGTCTCCCTTTAATTGGTTCCACCTTAAATGAATAAGCTTTTTGCCATGTATCTAGCCAATACACCTTATGTACCCACTTGTAAATGTCAAGCTCAGCCTCAGGGTCTTTGCTCATTTCATTCAGAGTTGTAATTGCATGCCTGCAAGGTATTCCCATTAATTCCCACTTTCTGCAAGTGCATGTTTGGTTCCTAACATCCACCACATGCTGATCTTGCAATGCTCCAATGAATTGATACTTGTTTGCCCCATTCCACCTAGCAATATATTGTGAAGCACCTTTTTTCCTTGCATCTAGTATGTCTGTTGTTGTAGGTGTTAGTGGACCTTTAGCCTTCTTCATTGTCTTCATGACATTGAATATCCTCTTCATTAAATACTCCCTAATGAACTCTAAACATGAAATTACAAGTTTGTCCCTGCCTTTCTCTGTCTTCCCATTAAACACTTCACACATGTTTGAAATCAACACATCAGAAACAACTCTTTATGCACATTACAATAACATACAATTAATGCTGATAAATAATTGAAACACATAATCATTACTATATGCAAACATATACAATTACCTGATAAATGACTCCTTGCCCAATGTACAGGAGGAATTTGCTTCAACCATTGGCATGCCTCCTTATCATACTCACTAAACTCCTTCATCAAATGCTCAAACTCAAGAATGGTGGTTGTTGATGCACACCTCCATAAATGGTCCCTGTACTCAGTTTGCCCCCACTTCTTTCTCATATTTTCATGAATATGTCTAATACAATATCTATGCTCAGCATTGGGAAACAATTGATCAACTGTAATTTGTAGTCCCTAAATGACTCAACAGACAATAATAAGAATTAATTTCTTGGTAAAAAAACACAATCTAAATGATAAATTGAGGAACTGCAATTTACCTTTTTCTTGTCACTTATGAAAGTATAGTTTGAGTTGCTCCCAAGGTCCAAGTCATCCCCAAGGTTTTCTAAAAACGACTTCCAGTAGGGATGGCAAAAAAGCCCGAACCCGATGGGGAAACCCGAAACCCGATCGTTTCAGGGCGGGTAACGGGTCGTTATCGGGTTCGGGGCAGTGAGTGGGTTCTCCTCGCCCCGACCCGCCCTGCCCCGATTATATATATATATATATATATATATATATATATATATATATATATATATATATATATATATATATATATATATATATATATATATATATATATAGACACACACACACACACGAATCCTTTTGATGTTAATTGCAAACATTCAAAGATAAAATACTTTGTGTGGACAATCATTTTAGTTTTTACAAATATTGTGTGAATGATCATTTTTTTTATCTTTTGACGTATTACAGTAAACTTAAATCAAATAATCTTTTTAGTTATTAACAATTTTTTATGTTTTGACGTATTATATTAAACTGAAATCAAATAATTTTTAATATAACATCCAATATATTTTACTAAAGTGATGCATCATATTTTTAATTTAAAAGAGAGGCTAGAGCATGTATTTTTTATAAGACATCGGGGTATCTTAAAACGGAATAAATATTTCGTTATGAATTGTTATAAACCCGATAAGATACCCAAAACCCGACGAAAAAACCCGAAACCCGATGGGGTGCCCCGATAAGAAACCCAAAAAATATCAGGGCGGGTTTGGGAAACCATGCCCCGCCACGAACACACCCCGTTGACATTCCTAACTTCCAGTTAGCTGTGTTTTCAGACTCAGCAATTGCATAAGCCAAGGGATAAATTCCATTGTTGGAATATAGACCAACTGCTGTAAGAACCTGATCGGGGAATGGGCCTTTCATGAAGGCACCATCCAAACCTACTAAGTCTCTAAGACATGCCTTGAAACCTTTTTTCAGTGGACCCAAGCATACATAAATCCTTCTAAACTGCCTTGTTGGGGATGCAGGGTTGCCATTAGGACACACATCTATTTTGACTGTTGTGTCTGGGTTTGTAGCTTGAAGTTCAAGAGCATAGTCCCTCAAAAATTCAAATTGTTTTGTGTAGTCCCCAGTTTCATGCTTTCTTGCCATATCTTTTGACCTAAACACCTTATCCATCGAAATACCCACCTGGTAGGTCTTTTGAAAGTGATCTTGTATGGCTCTCAAAGGAATCTTCGGATCTGGCTCAACTTGATCTTTGATTTTCTTGCAAGTTAAAGAAGCAGTACAAGCTCTGGGTTTTCTTGTTTGTAAGCATGTATGAGTTTGGTTTAAGGTCCTTATAAACTAGTCAGATTCGGGGTTTGACCTAGATGGATGTATATACCAACCACATGTTTCTTTTTGGTGTCTTTACTTCTTTGCCCTTGCTTTTTGAAGTGGTAAGTTGAGTCCCCACTTGACCTTTATTGATGACAGGTACAACTCCTCTGCACTGTGCCCTAAGCCTTTGATTGTCATCTTTTTTAAAGAATAGATTCCTTCTTTTTTCTAGTGCATGCACATCAACTAACTCCTTTAATTCTTTTTTACTTTTAAACTTTTGTCCCACTGAGAATGACTGTATATGTACTGACCCAAGGCTGCACCTTTTTTCTTTTCCCAAATTTTTTTATAAGTGCTCTTCTTTCTCTGTCTTGGTCTGATCCTTCATCCAATGATTCGAACTCCTCATTTTTGATCACTTCTATATCTTCAGGTTCATTACCATCATTAATACATGCTCCTTCAACATCACTTTTAACATTTAGACATAAATCTGCCATGTCCACATCAACATCTTCTATTGTAACGCTCTGTTTCTCAGGTATTGATTTAATGGGTGAATTTCTTGATTTCAAGGGCTACTCGACGAGTTGATTGCCCTACTCGTCGAGTAGCAGTGGGCTGGTCCACGTATTTTAATGACCTACTCGCCGAGTCCAGGAAAAGACTCGACGAATAGGAGCTGGCAGATGAAACCCTAGATCTTGGGGTTTTGCACCTTATTTAAAGGATCATCGGCCTCCCCCAGCCTCCCCTTTATTGCTTATTGTCCTTCTCAAACCCTAATCGAGTGTGTGTGTTCCATTTGTGTGCTTTTGAGCTTGGAAGAGGATTTTGTGGAGAAAGGGAGCTTGGAGAACAAGTATTCGGAAGCAAGGAGCTTGTGGGATCTGAAATCTACCTTTTGGGCATCTTCTGGAAGGTATAAATCGTTACCCTAACCTCATTTCATTCTAGATCCCCTATTTGGACAAATCCTAGGGTTTTCATGGTATGATTGGAAGCTATTCTTGTGTGCAAGCTAAGATCTGAAGTTGCAACTTCAGAACTGAGCTCCCTTGGGCTTCTTAGTCCATAAAGTTTCTAGCTTGTGCAAGGATGAGACTCTCCCAAGGTGTGAAGTTCCATTGGAAGCTTAGATTGGTCATTTAGGTCCTTTAGAGCCTTGCATGTGCGTAAAGTTTACAACTTTACGTGATAAACGTGCCTTAGAAGGTTGGATCTGTAATCTGGAAGCTTGCCATGGCTTAAAAAGTGTCTGCATGGGTAGAGGTCTGCAAGGACGCGCCGAGTTAGGTGAACAACTCGGTGAGCCCATTGAAGATGGTCATGGACTTGACGAGTTGATGAACAACTCGACGAGCCCGTTGAAGATTGCCTTGACCTCGGCAAGTCGTTTGAAGACTCGGCGAGTCGGCTAGGGTTTTCTCCTAATTCTTGGACACGTATGAACTCAACGAGTTAAAGGGGAACTCGACGAGCCAATCGAGGATTTCCCGACTTCTCGAGTTCAGGAAGGACTCGACGAGTCGGTGAATTGCACTCGACGAGTGAGTCAACATGGACTGTTGACTTTGACTTAGAACAAGGGTTGACCAGTTGACTTTTAAGGGTATTTTGGTAATTTAAAGATTTATGAAAAGGGGTTTTATGGTAACTATAGGTGGTGAAGTTCGTGTTGGTGATCCGGGAGTTGACCTCTCTAGTTCATACGACAGTTGCGAGGTGAGTTATCCTCACTATACTAAGGGGTCTAAGGCACCAAGGCTGTCCCAATTGATATGTTACCTCGAGTTGTGTTAGATGCTGAGTATGACTTAGTGTTGCATGCTAGTGGTTATGCTTGTTAGGTAGGTCTGTAGGACTACCTGTGATGTTATCTGAATATTGCATGCTCGATTCTTATGATTTATGTGTTGTTATATGGGATAAGTTGAGGTTGTACTGCTTCGGGCGGTAGCCAACAAACCTTGGGAGCATTCCAGTTACAGGCTAAGTGAGACTCGTACTGTGGGCTCGTGAGCATTCCAGTTACGAGCTAAGGGAGACTCGTACTGTGGGCTCGTGGGTATTACAGTCTGTAGGGCTGTGGACCCGTTACGTGCTGTTCTGTTCCGTTTGTTATGATATGTTATTATTTGACATCGTTATGTGGACTGTATGTGTATCGGTATTTTGGGGGTAACTCACTAAGCTTTCGGGCTTATAGTTTCAGTTTATTGTTTCAGGTACATCAGGGGATCGCGACAAGGCAAAGACGTGATCGTACAGCTCCTCCTATTATGTTTATGTTTCTGGGAAAACTCTGATAATTAACATTTTTAAAACAAAGATGTAATGCTTGATGAATTTGACATGTCTTTTTAAAAGTTTAAATTGGTTTGAAATTTTGGGTGTTACATCTATATTGTTCTCCTCATCCATTATGTCATCCACTTTATCTTCATTTTCTGATTGTTTCCCATCCTGATCATCACCTTCATCCTTTTCATACTCTTCATCACTCTCTTCAGATTCATCATCCCCTTCATACTCTTCAACATCCTCATCACTTCCAAGTAAATTTTCCATAAGGTTATCAAAAAGCACATTATATTGTTCATCATCATTAATAGGTGGGGTGTTGTAGCATCCATCAATATGGTCATTATCCTGAACCCCAATCATCTCATCCCCTACATTAGCAATATTTGAAGTAAATGGCTTGTAGCATCCTTCAACAACAGTTGCAGCCCCCTGAACCTCCTTAACACCCCCATTAGTGTTTTCCTTCTCTTTTAAATCATCAATATCCTCTAAATTAAGCCTCTTACTATAAGAACCTTCCCCTCCTTTTGAATTCCCAACTCTACCCCTTCTAAATTAAGCCTCTGGTGAGAATGCATCACTTTTACTCCCAAAAAGAATCAAAGACATGTACTCACCAATTGGCTCATCATTGACACAATTCATATTTCTCAATGGAGATTCTGCATGAACTTCAACCTCATATTCAACCCCTTGATCATCATTTTTTGGTAATTCCTCAATGACAACTTTACCCTTTGCATTTGGAGACATGAAGTAAGTGAGTAGATTGGTCTTCCCATGTTCTGTGTACACCTCAATCAACTTGTTATTTAGAATAAATTTAGAAAGATTGATAACATCCTGATCATTCCTTAAAGCTCTAAGACTAAATTGAAACTCACCATTGGGTATCTTGAAATGCTAGTATATCACTGGGGATTCATCGATCAATTCAATCATCTGTGGGTCCGGGTAACCTAGGTCAAGCATTATGGCATCAAGTTCATGTACATAAAACTCATCTATGTCCACATAATCAACATAACGCACTTCACCTCCAGTATACTTTATATCAGGTAACTTAGTAAACTTCCCACCATGATGAAGCTTAATACTAAACCATGTGGGTGCACCCGCTACAAGTCAAAATTATACATGATAACAAAGTCAAAATTTGGCGGATTTCAGTATAAATCAAGGGTAAAATGAAAAATAGGAATGTTTAAGAAAACAGAGCAACTTACCATATAAGGATGATACGTCGACAACTTCATTTTTTGGTATGATCTGCCACATTACGTACACCATTTCGACTTTAACATATGACCTTGTCTCCTTTTGCTTCGATTAGGTTCTTAGGATAACAAAGGATGTTTTTTTGCAGGTTTAATGGAGAAGGAGGGAGGTTGGGAGTTGACGGGTGTTTGGGATTGTAATTGACGGATAAACGGTAGAAGGAAGCGTTGACATTCGTATGCAAAAATGGTCACTATAAGTAAAAAGACAGAAATATCCTCATGTGCAAGGCACATGTGGGAGTTAACAGATTCTTTTTAATGAGTGTTAAGTACAGGGACCATTCTCACAAACAAACCAGTCCAAAAGGACCATAAAACCAAAAAACTCGTGGTTTGGACCAAAACCCCAAAAAAATACATATCACAGGGACTATTTTTACAATTTTTTCTAAAATAAAAAATTATTTATACTTCTACAGTTCTACTAATATATTAACACAGTTAATTAGTAAGGACTTAAAACAGAATTTATAAAAGTAAAAGGTATAATTGGAAATGTTTAGGTTAACGAAGGGGGTTAAATGAAATTTTCAGAATCAAATATCCTGTCTAAACATTTCATAGTTCAAACTTCAAACTCTTCTCTCCCTCTCTCTTTTCCAAACACACACAGTCGTGAACAATGGAATGCTCAATTTTGAAGCTTGTAATCGAGAAGGGACCAAGAGAAGGTGAAAGCCTAGAGTATTCATCTGGATCCATCGTCAAAATTGGTCGAATAGTGCGTGGCAATACCATCGGAATCAAAGACGCCGGCATCTCCACCAAACACATTTCCATCGAATTCGATAATGAATCGAGCAAATGGGAAGTCACTGATCTCGATTCTTCCAATGGTACAATTTTGAACGGGCAAATGCTTTTGCCTAACGTTCCTTCCACTCTCGAAGACGGCGACTGCATCAAGATCGGTGAGCTGACGTCGATTATTGTGAAGATTGGAGGAGTTCAATCGACTATTCGACCTCAAAGGAACCCTAGGAGGAAAGGAAAATCTGGAGTTGCTGCTGATGTTGAGAGGGAGAGGAGTGGAGGAAAATTAGGGCTCGATGGTGATTTGGGGGAAAATGCGGTGGAGGAACCGGTACCAAAGCGGAACCTCCGCCCTAGAGGTAAGAAAGCTGCGGATTCGAAGACTGAGGTGGAAAGCTTGAATGTTAAGAGGACATTGAGAAGTTCTAAGAATGAAGATAAGGCTAGTTCCATTTCTACACTAAATCAAATCTCTGAAGATACGAGTACAGATGTAAGACAAGCAGCAGATCAAGTCGTCCCTGTAGAGCAACGTAAGACACGAGGGAGGAAAAAGCAGTTGCCAGTGCCACATACCACCGATGATCCTGATTTAGATAAAGGGAAACCTGCAGAAACTGTTCTTCCAGTAAATGTCAAAAAGACACGAAGAGGAAGAAAGGGGTTGTTAACTGAGCCTGAGCCATTGGAAGATTTACATACCAGTGAATCTGTTCGAGCTCATATGACAGAGGAGCCAACATCAACACAAGAAGATCATGAGAAAAATGTAGTAAAGAACAGTGGTTTGGAGGAGAATTTGGACGCCAACCATGACCCTTCTCAAGATCATGTTGCAGAGAAATTGGTGTCAACTCAAGAAAGTTGTGAACAACGGGAATCCTTGGTAGATCAAAGTTTAGTGAAGGAGACTAGTGTTGATACTAGTAGGTGGCAAGATTTGGAGAAGATGACATTAGGCGACTTTTTTGATTACTTGGAGTGGTACTTACCTAAAGAGATAATTGAGAAGACAGAAGAAATCATTTCACAATTACCAGAAAAAAACAGGAAATACCATGAGGCTAGGCTTCAAAGAAATGAAAAGGATAAAGAAAAGCAAGCTATGGACTAAAAATGGAAATTGCAAAGAGAATCAAAGCTATTCAGGTAACTAATAATCTAACTTCCACCTCTTAGATTTGTCAATCTTTGAGCTATGTTCTTATTGTATCTTTTAGCTCTGTTTCTTTTAGCTTTTAGTCTCTTGTATTAGGCTTAAGAAAAAGTAGTCTTGATTGTGCTATATGTTGATATAAGCAAGTTAGAATTTTTGGTCATTGTTATGGCTTTTCATTGTGTGAAATCCAATGTTTTTTGCTGTTTATTAGTTAAAAGTGAAAATGCGAAGTTTATTTACTTTGCTTATTTTGAAAGTAACCCATGATGCTTTTTCAATTCAGAAAATGAAAATGAAGGGTGTTCTTTGGAATATTGTAAGGGCTTAATGCCAAAAATTAGCAATTTATGTTTAGAAAATATAACAGTACATATGGCCATATTGTATTTTTATTTATATAATTAAATTAAAATTAAAATTTTTCTGTAATTTAAAATTTAAATTCATAAATAAACTTTTTTTTTAACAATATAAACATGTAAAATGTATTTTCAAACAAATAGCAGTTTACTTTTATGAAAGATTTTTTTTTCTTTATTTATCAATGTACAAAATACCTTAATAAGAAAATAACAATTGAAAATAATGATGTTGTAATAGAAAGAAACAAAAGTAGGATGCTATATCACATAAATATATCAAAGTGCATTGATATTTTTTGCATTAAACCAATAAATAATAATAGTAATTCTGAATCCAAAACTAGAAAGAGAAAGAGAAACCAGTGGACATAAAAATGGACGAATTTCTTACAGGGCTAAATGTGAGAAATACTGAAATAGAAATGTACTTTATTAATTTGTATATTATAACTTTATTGATAAGTATCGTTGTATCGGTCTAAAATTATAGAAGTCACATTTTGGCCATGAGAGATGTATTTCACGCATAAAGTTCAACTTGGTTGTACTTTTTCCAAAATACTTATTTTGAGATATTTTAATGGGCAAAAAAAAAAAAAAGAAAGAAATAAAAAGAGTAAATTACACGAATGGTCCCTATGGTTTAGGGTAATTTGCGCGTTTGGTCCTTAACTTATTTTTTTAACTCGGAAGGTCCATACTGTTTGTTTTTGTTACACGCTTGGTCCCTATCTTACCTAAAAAGACTATTATGCCCTTGGTTTTTTTAATTTATTTAAATAAATACACCCCTAATCCCACCCCCTCACCTTACCTCATCTACCCATCATTTTAACCTCTTTAAATAATAGTCTTTTTAGATAAGACAGGGACCAAACGTGTAACAAAAATAAACAGTAGGGACCAAACGCATAACAAAAACAAACCATAGGGCCCTTCCGAGTTAAGAAAATAAGTTAAGGACCAAGCACGTAAATTACCCTAAACCATAGGGACCATTCGTGTAATTTACTCAAATAAAAAAGAGAGCAGACTTGAAAGCCAGAGTGAATAATATGATAAATTGATAATACTTCAAAATAAGTATTCATGATCAACCCGAGTATGACACCTAGGCATTCATGTTGATAAACCATATGAAAGATTCCCATTGGTCGAACACTCGAAAATGGGATGAAATAAAATTCATTTTGCTATAATCGCTTTTGCCCATGACTAGATCTGTAGCTTTCCCTTTTTTTTTTTTTTTGTCAATTTCAGTGGAATCAACATTCTAACATTTTCCAAATACCAAGCACGGATCGTGAAAGTTTCAATTTTAGTAGGTCGTATGTCTATGCCATAATACAATTCTACCGCCTCTCCCCATATTTGGCCGACTGTATCATCTGTGTTCATATGAAAAGAAACAAAATACAAAAAATTAAAAACGTTATTGTTAAAATATTTAAAATAAATGAATGAAAGGGGGGACAAAACCGGACCAATTTGATGATTTTGACCCCGGTGAAAAGAGATTAAAAATATCATATGTTAACTGGTGTATGTTTAGTAGTTCTCTATTATTCTTTTGAACATACCTATCAAAGCACTTACGAAATGAGAATATGTAGTTAAATGTTGGATTATAACCTAGTGAACAAAGGAGAGGTTGAAACATTCTAAAAATCTTGATAAAAATTTTCATTTTTATAAAACATTTTTCCATAAAACCATAAGACAACAACCATTGTTTTCAAAACGAAATCATAGAATAAGAGTATCAACGATCTCTCACAACATAAACCAGCCAGAAGGATGTGTACGATCATGCATTTGTCTTGCCCCGATCATCTGATATACTTGAAACCATAAAACCAACAATTGTAAGCCAAAGCTTAGTGAGTTTCCCAAATATACCCTACACACAACACATACAAAACATGCACCCAAGGCCTACAACATAAGGCTGGACTGCCACCTGAGCCTTTAGCAACAGGCTGGACTGCCACCTGAGCCTTCAGCAACAAGCTGGACCGCTCCTGAGCCTACAACATAAGTTGGATTACTCCTTTGGGCCTTTAGTATCAACTGGACTGCCCGGGTATCTTGACATTCAACACAAAACAGGATCACCTCAAGCCAACCACATTATGTCGACATATGCAAAAAATAATCAATAACTAGCAAGTTCAGTTAATCATAAAGATCTATCAATCGAATAGATCATTATAGCATAACAACATCCTATACATAAGGATACGTAACACAATCTAGTGGGCCGGTATTAGTGCCTTCGACAATGAGTACAGTAAGAAAACTCACCTCTCAGTCTAGAAGATAACAGTAATGATCCCGATCCGATAACTAGCCTAACAATCACCTATACAACGAATAGAGACTAAGTCTCAATCTACAACCCAAATACTCCATTTGACCTAAAGTCAAACTTGGTCAAAGTCAAACAGTCAACTTCCAATCAAACTATGTCCCGCATACATGAAGCTCTACGCGTCGTGTAGGACTCAAGGAGGTAAAACGAACACAAAAGGGGCTACGCGCAAGGTAGCTAAAACTACGCCCTGTGTAGTATGCTGATGTTCAATTTTACCATTAAGTGCTTAATCAAGAAGTTAACCCTCCAGACTTCCAGATCTATACTAGATGGACGTCTTAATGGATAAAGACTCTGACTTTATCCATTTGCATTCATATAAAGAACACTAATCTAAACTCTAGGTTCAAAAAGCCTTTGATTGCTCAAAAGCTCATGCATGGATGGATGGGAGTGACCAAACTTTCATGTTTATGACTTAACAACCCTAAAAATGTCTGGAAATGGTACTCAAATGTCTGGAGTAGCTCTTACTCATATACACCATGGATATGGGGACAA